TGATAGGAAATGGATTTCAAACTAATTATAATATGGCCTTGTGGCAGAATATACCAGTTAAACAACAAGGGACTTAAGATAGATCCTTGCGGAACGCTGCATGATAATCTAGCTACAGCTGACCAAAAGTTTCCCACTGACATCAAAAGTGTTCTATCTGCAGAAATGAATTGAACGACCCCAAGATGGAGCTAGACATCCCTATCATGTGACTTAAGCGGTGGATTAAGATTTGATTATCAACGGTACTGAAGGCTGAACTAAGGTTAAACAGAACAAGAACTGAGCAATCACCCCTATCTGCAGCCACCAGAAAGTCATTTGTGACTTTAAGAAGATCTGTTCCTGTGGAGCTCCAACAGTTCTACAGGGGTCTGCAAAATTTTGTTGTGGTTTTCAAATTCTAATTTTTTCTCACTAATAAAGATTTAAGACTAAATTTTCTCATTTGTGCACTGGTAAGGAGGTCCTTTATATTAAGAACATACATGCTTTTATTTTATCCACTCTGATCTTTGAATTGTGTTGCGCTTTACAGAGTCAAACTTGTCTCTTTTCATATATTTTTAATCTATCATTTTGTAAAATTGTGCAGTGCATGCTGTCACAGGCATGTTGGCATCAGCAAAGTTTGATTTCACAATGCTCTGTACTTCAGAAATCTATGTATGGTTTAAAAAAATAAATATATTTATAAAAAACAAAAACAGACAGCATGAACAACATGAAATGTACCAGATATGATAAATATTGGTAACAAACAGTTCAGTTATTCATTTGACCCACATGCATACATAACTTTAGCTTGTGTATTAATGCATTCGCTAACACAGTGACACCCTCTTCACGCCATTTCGTTTTATATCACTATGTAAACTGGGAGCCAGAGACACAAGCTATCCAGTAATGCACTGTCAGCACATACTTTCTCTGCTTTAGGGTTCACGAGCTAGTCTTCATTTGTGACATGTGAAATATATTTAACAAGCTCTAGAGCAAGGTTACACCTCTCTCGTGCTGCAATGGCTGACCTGTAAAATTCCTCAGGGTGTGCAGCTGTTGTCACTGCCTCATCCATTTCTCTGGATCTGTTTGTATGCAAATTCAGGCATAAATTCACTCGGGTAAAATTAGATTATGTTAAATTCCATTTAGAAGAAGATTGGGCAAAGATATTTGACATGCATTGTTTTTCTTCTTTGATCAAAGATGACAAAAACTGATCTAATAAACTTACTTGGCACACTCCTCTTTTAGTTTTAGGCAGAGTAACAACAGATGGCTGCTTGGCAACAGTTTAGAAAAGCAACCGGTCCTGGAGTAATATGACTTTGACTAAAGATGGGGTTTTTTCCTTTTCATTCAAAAAAAAAAAAAAGGCATTTTGCTGCATAAGGTGACAAGAGCCAGTTTATGTTTATGTTTATGTTTTATAGGGCACATTGCTTGAGAGTGTCAGCTTGCTCAAGTTTAAATACTTTACAGACTTAACCATGTTTTCTATGAGGGTAAGGAAACTTGGTCATCATTTTAATTTAGGTTTTCTTTAGCAGAGTAAAAGTCTACACTGATTGAGTGAGCTGGGAAAAAAGTGGGTGAGAGTGAGTGAGTGAATGGTCTGTATGTGGGGGTGTGTGTGCGTGGCTTGGCCTGGGTCTTGTTGAGCCTTGACCCTGTGGGACATGGTCACCACTCCCTGCTCCTACCCCTCCCTGGGATGTGGGTGCTTGTTTATGTGACTGGATGTTCTGCTGTGTTCATTGGCCACTTTGGCTCAGGGTAGCTTGGACCTCCTGCCTGTCAGGGGGCCTCTGCTAGGTGCCCCCTAGCCCTGTGACCTTGTTCTCGACCAGGGTGGCTGGCCTCTAGCGGGGTTGACTGCCCGTCGCCTCTGGTCCTCTCACCCTTGTTCCATAACCTCAGACTACACTCTGACATGTTCTCATATATTGCTAAAGCAATTATAAACTATATAATTTCATGAATTAAGTATTTTTAACCTCTTTTGCAGCCACATTAGAATCAAGATGCTATGAAAAAGGAAACACTACTCCAGGAAATAATTAATTGCACATTTTTGGCTCAACAAACAAACAAAAAGTAACCCAATGTATTGATTTTTGAAAGTAATTTAAGAAAAGCAAGCACTGCTTCATCAATATTGTTATCAATATAATAAAAAAACAAAACAAAAAAATCCCTATAGATGTATGCCTTTGCAACCACAGAAGTCCTAATTTCTGTCCTTAAAAGTTGCAGTGTGTACTGTGTCCAGAAAAGTGTTCGTGAACAATACTACATACGAATACATATAAATCCCATCACACAGGTTATCTGGGTATGTCATATTAAATTCACATGTTCATGTGAATTTATTCTTCCTGAAACACTTGAATTGTTTAGTTTTTTTTAATGCAAAATGCACCATCAGCCTTGAAACACCATGAGCTCTTCTAGTTTTGACTGTAGGAACCGAAAACGTGATCCCGACTGCGTGTCTAAATCAGCAAAGCCGATTCTTTTTAAATACGACACATCACTCTGTACTTTTTTAATTCATTCACGTGCTCTGCTGTAACTGCACCAGTGTAAAGTCTTTATCATGTACATAAATTCTTACAAAAAGCAGATTAGAAAGCCACTTATGGTATGCACAGCAAAGACACCAGTAAGATGTAAGATTTATCCAATCCCCCATCTCCCATTACAGAAACCAGGATTCTTGTTTACAGCATGTCGATCTCCTCTTGCGCTACCATGAGATTCACATTTCATATTTCACTCAGATCCAAAAAATTGGTACAGACATTCATGACCCCCTTTGGGTGAATTTTAATAACTTTAATCATCCTCTGACATTTAATTTGTGTAATCAGATCCAAGGTTTTACTTTTCCACTGATTTATGACCAAACACCTGTATAACTATTAAGACTGAATACCGCTGTCACTGCAAGCACGCCAGCACACATTTACCATTTAGCTCAAAAACACCACTGTGCCTAAGTACAGCCTAACAGAGTTGTTGGCAGTACTGTGGACTTTCAGTCTTGTTAATAATTTAGATGTTTACTCTGCTTGCCCCCTTCTTTTCTTTTAATTATATAGAGTCTTATAGAGTTTTAAAATGGCAAAAACAGAATTAAATGTCTAACACTTGGTTCCTGATTTACAATTGAAACTTTTTTCATTTTTACAGTTAGAAAATGTCTGCAACTAATTTTCACAGGATTTTTAGACATATGGGATAAAAACCAGGCTTCCCAAATGATTGCCATATAAAGCAATACATGTTATGCTATAACCCAGACAACTAAAAGCAT